TCAAGTCTGAACACTAAGCAAAACCAATCTCCTCATCCACCTCTCTGCACAAATCCTGGCAATCCGGTGTTTTCCTGTATGCTGGATCCCAAAACACTCATGACCAATGGTACTTTGACAAAGCCTCGGGTTTTACTGTTTAAAACAACTTCAAGTGAATATGGTGCTATAGCACCCGTCTCACAGATGGTGCCCTGTACTTACCATCCAATGGATCAAACCTTTTCAAAACACTTACTCACCTGTGGGTCATTTCACGACAGCTGTTTAAACACTGCCATGGACAGGAGCAGGGTATACGACCACCTCAGTCTCCAGCATACTCTGTAAAAACGCATCTCTGACTTTCTGTCATAGACTTAGTTAGGTGTAGGAAAACAAATCTGAGTTCCTTCAGTCATTCTGGGAATAACTGTCAATATCCAATTTATTTTGGTTTTACAGGGTTGAATTAAATGTATCAAAAAAGATGTACCCCATTTGATGATACTCTTCACTCAAACAGACCTAAACACATAAAAATAAAACTTCTGAAACTGGTATCATAAATGTGGAACTCTAATTTTACAGAAAGAGTTAAGTGCAAAAGACATTGACCTGAAGGTTTATTTGTTTTAATTAAAGTATTTTCTGGTTTTAAAACTTAAAGTCAGTCTCCGCAGTCCCACGTCTCAGGACACTAACACCAACATAATGCATATGACTTGGATGGGGTGTACGCCCCGTCAGCCCCACTACTGCAGTGAGAAGTCTAACATCCATTTGCTCCCCATATAATCACATGAAACAGGCAGATGCTATTTGTGCCACCAAGTACTTTTGCTTCCCCAGCCTTTAAAGGGGGCACAGTTTCTATTTCATAGCAACAGAAGAAGGTGCCTGTCCACACCAGACATCTCCTCGAGCAGCTATAACGAATGACTGCCATACAAATAGCCTGCACAGATGGATACAGGTTGTTCTGACAGACTCTAGGACCAAAACAGAAAAGGAGGAACTTGGACCCAGTGTCTGCCTCTTTGCATTTGCTTTTTCCCATCACCAATGTCTCTCCTCCTTAGCCACCACTTCCCCTCCGCAAACAGCCATATTTTGGCAAGTATACCTTTACTCTCAACAGGGGCACTGAAGCTCCTGCACTGCCCTTCTTCCAGCTGCTGTAAATAAAGTATGCTCACCCCCTTCCATTGCAGTGCAGTAGGTGTCTGCAGGGAAGAAGGAACAGCAGCTACCCTAGATAGCTCTGACTCACCTCAGCACTCCTCTCGAGGGTCTAGGCAAAGCAACTGGAAGCAACACCTGCCACCTTCTCCCTGTTCCAAGAGTGTAAAATTTACACAGAAAAACATGTATCTGCATAATAAATGTTTTCTTCTAAAGACAGGAATCAGTCATAAATGGTATTCAGGAAGCAACCTGATGTGCAAAATTCAGAAGTCAGCTGAAACTGCCACTGAAAGGAATGTAGTTGAAAGGTCACAATTTGGGTAGAGCGTCTATCAAAACAGAACCACTCCAAGTCCAGTGTTTCAGGTTGTCACGGTGTTGGCTGGGGTAGAGTTCATTTTTGTAACAGTAGCTGGTGTGGGGCTGTGGTTTGGGCGTGTGCTGGCACCAGAGCTGATCACACAGGGACTGAGCAGTGCTTAGAGAGTTGGGGCCTCTTCGGTGTCTCACCCCACCCCACCAGCGATGAGGCTGAGGGTGCACAAGAAGTTGGGAGGGGACCAACCCCAGCTGACCAAAGAGCTATTCCCTACCACATGACATCATGCTCAACCACAGAAAGCTGGGGGAAGAAGGAGGAAAGGGAGGGACGTTCAGAGTGACGGTGTTTATCTTCCCAAATAACGGCTACACGCGATGGAGCCCTGCTCTCCTGGGACTGGCTGAACACCTGCCCGCTGAGGGGAAGCACTACATGAACTCCTCGTTTTGCTTTGCCTATTAAGCTGTCTGTGTCTCAGCCCAAGAGCTTTCTCTCTGATTCTCTCCCCTATCCCACTGGGGTTAAACTGGGGCACGTGGTAATCCAAATGCTAACATATATATATACACACCCCCAATACAATTCTATACTACATTCTACAAAACAACAAGTGCAGGAGTTCAAAGCACAGTGTCACGTTTCATGTCATTTTATAACACTTGTGACCTCACCAGGATGCCCCCTTTTTTGAGAATCTTTAATCACACCTTTTTTCCTGAGATGCTGGTCAATGATGTCAACAGAGTACGAATTAAAATACCAGCTCAAGAAAAATATATATTCTCATGAAACAGGTAAGTCATATTCATTGATAGGACAATTTATCACAGGATTAATTTATCACTACACTACAATACCACAATGCAGGTTTATAATTTTCAAAATACCTTGTCTTTTCAGCTCAAACAAATGTTTCAAAATATTTTGAAAATATTCAAGGCACATTACTTAATGCTTCTGTAAAAGCATTAGATTTTTGTTTGTCGAAAAGAACGTCCTGCATGACATAAAATCTACCCCTATGCTTCCAGGTGGAGGTTTTCCAAACCAGATGCCTGAATCAGAGTATCTCAATTCACTGTCTTAGTTTCAGATGTGCCAAACGCTATGAACAATCAGAAGAGAGGAAAGCATATAACCATATAACAGATAACACTTTCAGCTTCGGTGCAGAACAGAAAGATAAGAAGTTCACAGGTGCTGACTATACAGAATCACAGAATACCGGGATGGAAGGGACCCTGAGGATCATCTGGTCCAACCTTTCCTGGCAAAAGCATGGTCTAGATAAGATGGCCCAGCACCCTGTCCAGCCAAATCTCAAAAGTGACCAATGTTGGGGAATCCACCACTTCCCTGGGGAGATTATTCCAATGGCTGATTGTTCTCGTTGTGAAAAATTGTAGAGCTACTGAAGTTGTTCTGAAAACCCCTTGTCTACATGCAGTAGATATTTCCAGACAAATATTTCATTTAGTTGTAACTTTAAATCAAGTACCAAAACCATGTTTTAATATTCAGCCCACCAATATTTCACAGAAAGCAAAAATTGCAACTTTGTATCAAAATGATATAAAATCTAATCATATTTGCTATAATACTATACTTTCCAAAACAAGTAATTCATATATCCAATCTTTTACCACTTCTGTAGGAGTGAAAGAGAAAAATGTCTTGTTAACAACATACTGAAGAGAACAAAGATTCCTCCTGATGCCCTCAGAAGGCATTCCTCTTGAAAAATTCCTTTCTTTTCTTTTTGTTAAAAATCTTGCGCTGTTCCTTGAATTAGGTGTCGAACCTTCGCAGCATCTTCTTCTACAGTTTTATTTTTAGGATCAATCTTGAGAGCTGCTTCGTAATCCTGGAGACCTAGTATAGATATGTTAATAAGCATGTCAGTCAATCATGCAAGAGCATCCTCTTTAGCAACGAACTGGAAATAACTGCTCCCTAGTCACATGCATGAAGTATTGGTCTTGAGTTTTGCTGCTGAGCAAGATGGAATCAGAATGACATTAGGTTTAACTTTTGTCACTAAATAAATTTATATTTTGTTTATGTTATTTTACAAAACATTTTAGTGTAAACACTCTACTACATAAACATTTTCAGGTATTGAAACATGAAAACGCAGCCTCTTCATTCACATATATAGATATGCACGTGCATGAGGGGAGGATTCAAAAGTGTTCTGCAGAAGGGAGAAAAACTGCACGAGAGAATGAAAGTGCACAAAAATAAGAAGAAAAAAAGACATGAACTGTCAATGTTAGAGCTTGGCGGGGGGGAAAAGCCAACTATGAGAACACAAAGTAAAATAAAATCTTGTTTAAGTGTCTTTTTTATAAGGTTTACAAGGGCAAATGAAGCTGTAAGGGAATGACAAAGGGATTCATAGGCAGAAAAAGGTAACCAATGTGAAAAGCTTAGTATTTCAACATTGACATTTTGAATATTCTTCACTTTCTGTTATTGACTTTCACTTGTAAATTTGCCTTCCAAAACTAAACTGACACTCTTCGAGAACTCGGTAGGGACACTGTTAATTCAGATATTTTCACACAAATCACACGTACCTGATGGAACATTTTGCTCATCAATATGGGTTTCATACATTATTTTACAAGGATAAGTTACTAGGCACTTCACAAGCAAATATTTTAGAAATACTTCAGATTATTTTGTTAATTTGTTCTATAGCTGGAAATACTGTAAATATAATCTCAAAACCAATAAAACGTTGCTTCATGAACAGCAACACTAGCGCAACTTCAGTCTCCTATCAGTTTGTGTCCCACATTTGAATGCTTCTCCATGCAAATACCTCATTTCTGACCTCTCATTCATTCCTCATTAATATCTCCCATGGCCACCAAGCTGCCATGGTCAATAGCTGGCCATTAGGCACAGAAATACTGACCCAATAGACCAAACAGGATCATAGAATCACAGAACGGTTTGGGTTGG